TCTCAGGTTTTACTGGCACTTCCGTGTGTGTGGAGTCGTACTGTGGCTGAAGACTTTCCCTCACGTTATCTGGTTCTTCACACTTCACCGCACGTTCAGACGTACTAGCAGGTTCCTCACTAAAATCGCCGACATCCGCAAGGCTCAAGTCGTCGATGACGATCGGAGGTTCAGCGGTATGCTCAACGAGATGAGTACCGTCTTCCTCCTCCGTAACCTTTTGAGTTTTCTTGTGGATTTTCTTCACGAGAACCTTTTCCCCACTCAATGTAACAATTTCTTCGACAATGGTAATGTAGACTGTCCTGAGTGTGACCTTGCGTCCCTTATCATCAACACCTTCTTCTTCTTGTGTTTCTATGTGAGGTGCTTTCACTGGTGTTCCCTCCGAGAGTCGTAGAACATCCTCCAGTGCCTGTGATTCAAGCTGTGTAACTGAAGTGTCATGCTCCACTTCCGTGTTTCCCCGCACATCATCTCCAGCAATCGGCGCCTTTCTCCCGGAAGCGTCCTGCAATGCTGGTTGTTCAGTGTCTGCGACGATTTCATGGGAGTCCCTCTTCTTTCCTCCCCTACGCTTACGCTTCTTCTTTTCAGGGATAGCAGTTTCCCTGCCGCCTGGAATCGGCTCGTCCAGAGACTCTTGGGGATAATTCAGACTTTCGCTCGTAGTCAGATGCTCTGTCACAACATTTTTCGTTGGAAGAGAGCTTTCAAGCTGCATCTCAGCCTCTAGAGGAGCATCCAATACTTCAAAGCCCTCCACAGTGGGAGTAGCTTGCGGCGTTCAGTGATAGGGACAGCACTTGTGTCAGGGGTTGTACCAACAGGCGTTTTAGGTGTTTCAGGTTCAGACTCGCCTGAACCCTCTCCCTCTTTCTTGTCCTCGCTGCCCATGAAGTATCCAGTCAACCTGCTCAGCAAACCACCGGCTGCAGGCTGATTTGCCTTTTTCTTCGGCCTCTTACGTTTCTTTTTTGCTTTAGTGACCGGCACGCCATCTTGTGCTCCTTCCTCACTGCTGCGCCGCACCACCTCAGGCAGCGCTGCGTCTTCTGGTGTTGAGCCTTCACTGGGCTCTTCTCTGGGTGGTTCAACAGGTTTGCTTTCCTCAGGGATAGTAGATGTTGAAGTTAACTGTCCCGTTACCAGTGCTGGCTGCGTAATATCCATTTGAGGTGTTGCGGGAACCACGTTGCACACCAGCAAATGAGTTCGTTCGGCGGGGGGTGCAGACGGTTCCACGCATGGTTCTTCAAACTCCTGAACTATCACACCATTGTCGTATACCGTTTTACGAGTACGCTTGTGTACGTGTTCTCTAAGGATAACGTGCCCAGCGTCATCAACTTGCCGTTCGTAGGAAGTAGTTGTCATGATACGCACTACCACTCGACGCCCCTGGTCATCGACGTGCTCCTCAACTTCCTCGCTAGTGGTCGGCTCCGGGGTCTGGGCGACATCCGGTACCACATCACCATCCGCCTCATGGCACTTCCACCACCTCTCCAGTTCACGCTGACGGTCTTCAGCACGCGCTTATGTACATTCTCCGTGAGCACAATGTTGCCAGATTCGTCCTCCTGCTTCTCAAACGTAGTGGTGATGATAGGTTCGGATCACCACGTGTCGGCCGAGTTCGTCCGTTGTTTCGCTGACCTCCTCCCGCTTGGTAGGCTCTGGCAAGGTCAAGTCGAGTTGCCGATCGTCGGATCCATCGCCGGATCCCTCCTCTTCTTGAAGTTCTTGTACCAAGTGTCCTTGATCATAAATCAGTTTCTTAATCCGTCGCTGAACGCGCTTGACCACTTCACATGTACCATCCTCCAATTCGCGTTTCTCATATGTTGTTACAGTGGTTGTCCTGACGACAACCCTCCGACCGTTCTCATCCACAAACTCCCTTTCCTCTTCCTTCACCGTGTCCTCCGGGATAGCAAAATCTTCGCCCTCCGTCTCTTCGATGGCCGTTCGAGTTTCGACCCCGGGGGAAAGGTCTGCCTCTCGTTCCAGTGGAACTGTGGTAGTGATATCAGCTGCTTGCTTATCCGGAACCTCTTGGCTTACACCAGCCTTTCCTTGAGGGATGTGTGTTGTGTCAGTAAGTTGGGCATTTTCCACTGATTGCTGAATTTCACAAACCACGTACTCAGCACCGACATCCGTTGGTTTTCCGAACTCCCAGATGAGGCAAGTTTTGTATGCTGGTCTTCTGTCGTATCAAGAGGCTTTATGTCGGTGGTATCTGCAGCCGACCTCACCACGCGCTCACTCGAAACAGTGGCCACCTCCTTCTCAGGTACAGGCTTTGCGTCGCTTGCCACTGGTCTCTCTTCCAGCTCGGTAGCTACAACGCCAACAGGTTCAAGACGAGGAACCTCAACCACAGCCTGGCGACTCGCCTCCATTTTTGGAATATGGAGAGGTGATTCTTTCTCGTACGTTGCTTCCAAAGCTTCAGAGGCTGCCGTTCCCGTAGCATCCAGCCGCTCCATTCCAACAGCAGATTCAGGGCGCATTTCGTTCTCCCCAGCAACGGACTCTTCGACGGGTTGCTGAGCTACACCCACCAGTGCGTCTCTCTCAGACAGAACGACCTGGCCCACGCCACGTGGGTCACGCGCTTCTCTCACCTGACCCTCCCTATCGAATACCACACTCACGCCCACGTCTGGTAAGGTCGCCGCTGGCTCCTCCACTCGTGTCAGGCCCTGACCCATCTCAGGCGCTGCGGAGTCGGGATGGAGTGCGGCAATTTCGACCGGTTCCTGGTAGTCCACTACCACAAAATCGGTGGTCGGTTCCGGGCTCGTGGCTTCTCCGCGATGGTCCGCCGGCTTGGAGGCATCTTCCAACGGCGTGGCGCTTTCCACGGTCCGCACTTCACGCGTGGATAGCGGGAGCCCCTGCAACCGGTGCAGGTCTGCTGTAGGCAGCTGTTCGGTAGGGTGCTCCGTCGCAAGGGGCAATGAAGCCTCTCGATCCAGCGTTTGGTCTTCGCGCGACGTCCTGTGGACGTGGCTAACGATCTGGCTATCCAAGGCCTCAGCGGGTCGCCTCTGAACATCGAACTCCAAAGTTTGTAAAGATGCGTCATCTTGTACGTCCGACACTGGGATCTCTTCGCCATTCACCAGAACCATGCGCACAATCCTCGTCACCACTCGCTGCACCCGGTTCCCCTCACTGTCCGTGTCCGTAACTGTCTGAACGATCTTGCGAACCTTGATCTGACGACCCTGCTCGTCAACATATTGATCGATAGTCTCCTGCTTCTCCGGGGGCGTCTGTTCCCGCGACAGACTAGTCGTTTCAGTTGTGACGCGGTAAACCATATCGGACACGTCTTCGTGCTTTGGCACTTCGGGGATCGACACCAGCTCGATTTCTTCTGGCTCCACGAACTCTTCTGTGAGAGGCTTTCCGGCCTCTGGCGTCGTTTTTTCTGACCTTCTTTATAACACGCCTCCTAGTAACGGTATTACCTTGTTCATCAATGATTTCTTCCACTATCGTAACGCGAATGCGTTTAATGTATACTGTTTGACCGCTTCTCGTCAACTGACGTTTCGGTAGAAATCTGCACATCTGGTTTTTCCACATACTTTCCATCAAGAGGAGCAAGGATTTCCTGAACAACGAGTCTTTCTGCTTCACTTTCTTCTGCAGGACTTATGGCCGACACAGACTGCAATTCCTTAACTCCCTCTACAATCTGAGTTTCCTTCACGGCTGCCTCGGCATTCCCAAGACCCGGCGTTTTGACATCCGTCCCGGCCCCATCGCCGGGGAGCGCGCTACTGTCATCTCTCTGAGGTGACAAAAACAAGGACTCGGATGCCTCTTCAGCGATCTCAATCGAGTCCCCATGTTTTACCGCTGGCTTGACATGTTTGTCCTTCTTTTTGGATTTCTTTGTGGACTTCTTGCCATTGACGGGTTCTCGTTTAGCATCATCGGTTGCAGCCTCTTCTGCATGGGTCACGGGCTGGGCCTGCACAACTGCAGTATCGTCTTTGACGGCACTACTGTCAGGTCCAGTGGGCAGTTTTTTGTCAGCCTTTCTCTGTTTAGGCTGTTTGCCGGGCTGTTTCGGTAGTGAGCCTGTATCCTTGGCAGGTTTGGCATCTTGGGGTAGTTGGGAGTCACTTTCCGAAGACTGTGTTGGTTGGGATGCCTTATCCCCTACCTCCTTAGGTTCAGATGCTCCTGAATCGTGAGGTGTGACGCTCTTGGCGACCACAGCAGGCTCAGACTTTTCAGTGGTGGGAGCTTGGGAAACTTCTATGTGGTGAGATTTCTTTTTTGATTTTGTTTTCTTGGTTGACCGACTTCCTTTTACGTCTTCCGCATGCTGAGGTACAGAGTCGACAACAATGGCCGCTTCAAGAGCGTCGTCCGCAACCTCAACGTCAGATGATTGCTCCAAATTTTGGCTCAAGGTTTTTTCCGACTCAGTTCCAGCTTGAGACCTCTCATCTGCAGCAATAGTCTGAGGTTCGTCAATGACCATAAGAACCTCAGCAATAACGTCTTCCTTTGGCTCCGTTACCGTATCAACACTGAACTCATCCAGTTTTTCACCCAATTCATCTGACTCCGTAGGCTCATCCGAAGTGGGCCTTTTATCCCGTTTTGTTTTCTCCTGTGACACTTTTGACCTGTGGTTTTTGCCTGGTTTCTTTTTGTCAGGTGCATCTGCAGGCTTTTTGGAATGGTCCGTTGGATATTCTGGATGAATATTAGGGTCCTCAATCATGCGAACGATGTCATCCAATTCCGTATCCTCCTTTGGCCGAGGTGACTTGCTGCGATGCCGACTCCGGCGTCGTGGGCGTTTCCGCTCGACGTGGAGCGAGTTTGAGTCTTCCGTAGTCTCGTGGGACGACACTGTAGATGCTGTGTCGTCCGGTCGGGCCTCCGCTTCCGAGGTTTCCACCGACTCCTCATTGGGGAACTGTGGATCCATAATCGTCGGCTCCGCTCCTTGGACGGACTCTTCACCCTTCCGCTTCACCCGCTTCTTCTTTCGGTGCTTTTTCTTTTGCGACGCGTCCTGCTTTCTCCTCAATGGCTGCAGACTCCAACACAGGCACTGAAGAGTCTTTGAAATATGTTTCATGATCGGATTCTTTGTCATTTTCCACTTCGTCAAAGTGAGTAACAACAACTGCATGTCCATACACTGGATCATTTACCTCAACGATGAGGTCGTGCCCGTCGGACACGGATGCCGGGGCTGATTCCGGCGGTTTCGGGCTTTCCTCCGAGGAGTTGGACAACTCCTGTGATTTCGCGGCATCGTTGTTCCTCCTACGACTTCGCTTGCGAGGCTTGCGTTTCTTATCCTCTTTAGACGGAGTCATTAACAGCTGCAGCAGCTCTTCCTCAACTTTCTTGGGGTCCAAAGACGCTGAATAAGGATCCAAAGGCTCCTCCGGAGCCTTTGGCTGCTTTTTGGAATGTTTTTTCGAAGGCTTATCTCTGTGCTGCTTGTCTGTTTTCACAGATGGCTCCGAGGCCTCCCGAACAGCAACCTTTGTCGTCTCATCAGGTTCTTGCACAGTGAGCTTCGGAATATCCCCTTCCTCCACTGCTGGCGTTGCTGACATAATCTCCTCCTTTTTCACGGGTTTCGCACCCGCTGTACTTTCTTCCACGTTCAATGTTTCGATGACTATTGGGTCATCAGTGTCTTCCGTCACAGCATTCCCATCCATGTCGACGCTCTTCTGAGTTTTGGATATCCGTTTCCTCACCAGTTGTTTGGTGCCTGACTCTGTTACAATTTCCTCAACAATGGTCAGGTAGATACGTACAACCTTCGTCTTCTGGCCATTTTCATCCACTACCTCTTTCTCAAATCTTTCAACTTCAGGTGTTCCGACAAAATTGCCTTCTTTCGGAAGGAGCAACTGAACTAACTGCTCGTCCGTCTGGCCCATCAAAGGTCTCTCCACAGGCTTCGCATCTGAGGCCGTCCCTGAGTTGGGATCTAGTTTTTCTATCTCGCCAAGATCCCGCTCATCTATCCTCTCTACCACGGGCCCACTGGGAAGATTCGTAACTTTCTGGGCGCTTGATACTCGCCGTTTCTGTACGATCTTTTCCCCAGTTTCCGAAATAACCTCTTCCCAAACCGTGATGTACACTCTCACAACTGTCACTTTCCGACCAAAGCGGTCCACAGTCTCAGTGACATCTCGTTCGACAACAGGTTCTGAAACCATAAGGTTTCCAGACGCCGGCAAAAGCGTGGATATAGTTTCGGCATCACTGAGGCTCGTCAAAGGCTCAGTGACGGTCGCGACGGACGGAACTTGATCATTAGTAGCGTGTGGCTTCTTCTGCAGCATCGTGTCTTGTACAGCATGTTCCAGGACCTCGTCATGAGGCTGCTGTTCTATTCCTTCTTCTTTGCACTCCGGGATGTTGGAAATCTCGACAATTTCTTGTCCATTCAATTTCGTACAGCGCTTCTGCTTCTTGATCACACGACTAATGGTCACCTTGTTTCCAGTTTCGTCGACAACTTCTTCAACAACAGTCACAAAAACACGTCGGATAATGACCTTCCGTCCATGCCTGTCTGTAGTTTCTTCTATGTAAGCCTCAACTTTAGGTTTCTCAACCATGATTCCAGTGACCTCAGCCAACGCACTTTCAATTATATCGGAATCATTGGTTTCTTCAGGGGAACCACTTAAGTTCTTTTCAACAGCCATCACTGGGGTGGCCTCCAACGTCTGGGTCACTTCCTCTTCCGTTACACACGGTCCCGGGTCAGCAGACAAAGGTATTTTTGCATGTTTTTCGACGCTGGGACTTACGTCAGCGACTTCTTGCTTCTTTACAGCCGGTTCAGAATGAATAGGAGCAGATACAGGCATGGAAGACGCATCGTCCTTGTCTTTTGGGGCTTCGTTGTCACCTGTGATGAAGTTACTGATTTTCGAGAACCATCCTTGCTTTTTAGGCGCTTCCGGCACACCTGGTGCTTGATCCTTAACATCAGGTGTATCCCCGATGATCTCCACATTGACATCCACGTCATGCGGTGCCACCTCTCTTGGCTCATCTGTCTGGGCATCTACGGCCGATCCTGTTGTCTCCGTACCAGTCATGGGTTCACCATGCTCAGTACTTGCCACCGAGCCAGATGGTTCCTTTCGGGCAGACGGCAGAAGTTCACTCAGTGGAGGCAAGCCGCCGCTCTCCGAGCTGGGCGTTACGAGCTGATGAGCCATCATCTCAATTGGCGACGCATCCACGCGAATCTCTTCAACTGTAGTTTCGGGCCGTTTGTCTGGGTGTGGCCACTCAATCACATCCCGGTCCACGTCAGTCTCAGACCTCTTCTTGGCATTGCCCTGGATCTGTGTCACTGGCTCCTCAATGAGGCGACCAAGTACTAGGTTCAGATCCACTTCGTCCTTGGGGGCTGGTCGCAGCTCAGGAAGCTCATGCAGCTGCTCAACCTTATCTCGAGGAATTTCAGGTGGCTGCTCTGCAGGGAGGTCGTCGAGCTCGGGCAGATCGTTGGCCGATTTCTCTTCTGGAGTTGTTTCATGCCGCATTTGGTCAAACAGTGTCTGGTACACTCCAACCGCCTGCTGCGGTTTCGCTTTTGTGTCCGCTTCTGGCCACTGAGGTGGCAATTCCATGGCAACAGCCGTTGGCTCCTTTCTGGGGATTGGCTCAACGCTGAGCGCTGGTTGTTCAAAGCGCTTTTTCATCACATTACTGATGTCTTCGACGGGTCTCCTCTCAGCCTCCAAAAGAAGGCTGACATCGCTTGGTTCAAACGCAGGCTTTTGCGAGGGATCAGTGGTGGGAATATCTGCTTCCAGGACCCGGTGACCTCCCAGTTCGTGCTGTACTTCTGGTGGGTCTTTAGAGCCCTCTTTGGGCGCTTTATGTTCCTCTGTTTCATGTCCAAGGTCGGGATGGACTTCAGCCATTTCAGGAGCTTTAGTCTCCTGTGCGACCCTTCTTTCATGGAACTTGCGTTCAGCATCCCTGAGCGGATATATGTCGAGCGAGACCTCTTCGTGGAGGATGGGAACAGAACAAAGCTTTGTATCTTTTTCGACGCTATGCACATCAGGGGAAGTGTCAACATGCTGAGTTTTCCCCTCAGCTTCCATGAGAGGACGATGTGGTGCTAATTGCGACACTGTCCTTTCATGGTGCACTCTTTCAGCTTCATTTATCTCAAAAGTATTGAGCCAAGGCAGTCCACAGGGAAGATGGGCCTGAGACTTCGAAGGCACTGCTACCTTTGATGCTACGTTGTCCTCCAGCTGTTCAGCCTGAACGGGCTTGATGTTTGCGGTGGTCTGCATGGGAGCAGTGGAATTGTCCTGTTGTTTGCTAGCCTGTGCCCGGCCGTGTTTTGTATGGTATACGGTTTCAGCATCGTCAATCAATGCTTTGTCATACCAATCCTTTTCGGCCGCGAGCGATGCAACGTAATCTTCCGCTTTCAGGTACGGAGCCGCAGGCTCCTTCGATGCATGTCCATGCTCTTCTACTGACAACGGTATGTTGCCAGTTTCTTCCGCAGGCTCCTCGACCACGTCCACAGCCACTGTGCCATCGGCAGCAACCGTGGTTCTCACCGCTTTCCGAATGACCCGCGTTCTCTTGGTAACAACGCCCAACTCGTCTATTATGTCCTCAACGATAGTGATGTACATGCGTTTCAGCACCACCCGCCTGCCTTGAGGGTCGACGGACTCCACGACCTCGGTTCTCACAGTCGGCCGTTCGCTTACCTCACCTTCAGCACTGCGAAGTGCATCTGCAATGACCTCGTCCTCGGATTGTGCTTTCGGAGCGAATGACGGCTCGGAAACAACTACAGCCTGCTTTATCACAGGAGCCTCCGCATCACCTAGCTGGTCCTGCTCGGGCGTCACGCTACATGCCGCCTCCTGCAGGAGTCCCGGGGCACTTTTCCTATCCACCTGTTCCGGATGGGGGGTTTCTGTAGGAAGTTTGTCACGCTTCTTTTTCGTCTTCTTCGGTGGCTTTGTCTTCTCCGGCCGTGACTTTAATGGCTTACTGTCCTGTTTGGTGGCGCTGATCTGTTGCTCCGGGCGCACGACAAGCTCCACTGATTCCGCTGTAGATGACGGCGGGTCTTCAAATGCTTCCTCAGCAATCTCCACGGATTCATCAATGGGACTCTTAAAGGGAGTTCTAACGTCATGTCCAGGTAGGTCTCGGGGCAAAGCCAGGGCTTCCGTGTCCTTTGGAACAGAGGCATCCCTTGTAAGTTCTTCCACAACTTCAGGCTCCGAACGCTCCTCTACCACTGGCTTACCATTAACATCCGACGTCTTGATGATATGCTTTACCAGTCGCTTTACTGTAGAGGGCTTTCCTTCTTTGTTTTGCCTCTCCTCTATGATAGTGATCGTAATCGTCTTGTACGTGACCTTTCTACCGTTTTCAATCGTTTCATACAGATCTTCATCCACTTGTGGCTCTTCAACTAGTTTCCCAGATATGGCCGGCATGTAACGAATGAACTCTTCTAGTTTGTGCACGATCACACGATCTTCTTCCGGAAGCTTCTGAGAAGGCTCTTCATTAGCGTTGGCCGGTGGGACGAAAGATACAGCAGGATGGGACGTGGAGTCCCGTTTCGAATCGCCAGGCGAGAGCGGCGTTGGAACCTTCACAGGTGTCGCTGGTTCGCTCGGCAGAGTGTCAGCTGTGGTATCCGACTCATCATTCCATTCAATGAGGGCAGGTGCATCCTCCGCAGACGAAGATTCATCCGCACTTCCATGCACCTCCTCTATGACGTCGACCAGCTCACCATCAACATAGATGGTCTTCCGCACACGTTTCTGAACGCGCTCCACAATAACAATATGCCCATTCTCCTCCACCTTATCGTACGTAGTCGTGATGGTCGTATGGACAACAACACGGCGGCCGTCATCTTCAGTAAATTCCTCGGTCGTTTCCTCGATCGTCGGTTCCGGTAGCACAACATTCTCCGAATCACCAACAGCCTTTTGCAGCTTTGACATCTCGGTGGCGGACGTGTGGACGGTGCATGGATCTTTCGAAGGTTCCTCGAACTCCTCGACAATCTTATCCCCAACATAAATTGTCCGATGAACTCGCCGTTGTACCTTTTCCAAAATCACAATGTTGCCCTCGTCATCGCTTTGCTTCTCGTACGTGGTGGTCGTCACCGTTTTGATCACGACTCGCCTCCCCTGCTCATCCACGCTCTCTGTCACATGCTCCTCCGTCTTAGGCTCGGGTAGTTGTACGTCCAATACGAGTTCTTTAATGTCTTTGGCTGTTTTCTTTGTCATTGTTGGCTCCGTGGTTGGCTCCTCAACTTCTTCAATCACCTGGTCTCCGAGGTAAACTGTCCGGAAGATCCGACGGTGGATTTTCTCATAGATCACGAGATCACCCGAATCAGTCGTTTCGGTCTCGTACGTAGTCGTGGTGACGGTTCGCGTGACGACCCGACGTCCATCAGGCTCTGTGTGTTCGACAACGTCTTCCACTGTCGACGGTTCGGGCAAACGGATCTCGTCCGTCTTAGCCGTTGTCGTTTTAGGCATCTCCTTTGTGTCCGGCCGGCCACTTACCTTGACGGGAGCCTCGCTGACTTCTACAGCATTGGTGCTGCTGGTACTGTCCGGTTCATCAATCTGCTCAATGACTTCGTCCCCAGCATAAATTGTCCGATGAACTCGCCGCTGCACCTTTTCCAAAATCACAATGTTACCCTCGTCATCGCTTTGCTTCTCGTAAGTGGTCGTCGTCACCGTTTTGATCACGACTCGCCTTCCCTGCTCATCTACACTCTCTGTCACATGCTCCTCCGTCTTAGGCTCGGGTAGCTGTATGTCCATTATGAGCTCTTCAATGTCTTTGGCTGTTTTCTGTGTCATTGTTGGCTCCGTGGTTGGCTCCTCAACTTCTTCAATCACCTGGTCTCCCAGATAAACTGTCCGGAAGATCCGACGGTGGATTTTCTCATAGATCACGAGATCACCTGAATCAGTCGTTTCGGTCTCGTACGTGGTCGTGGTGACGGTTCGCGTGACCACCCGACGTCCATCAGGCTCTGTGTGTTCGACAACGTCCTCTGTAGTCGATGGTTCGGGCAGACGGATCTCGTCCTTCTCAGCAGCTGTCGTTTTTGGCACCTCCTTTGTGTCCGGCCGGCTACTTACCTTGACGGGAGCCTCACTGACTTCTACAGCATTGGTGCTGCTGGTACTGTCCGGTTCATCAATCTGCTCAATGACTTCGTCCCCAGCATAAATTGTCCGATGAACTCGCCGCTGCACCTTTTCCAAAATCACAATGTTACCCTCGTCATCGCTTTGCTTCTCGTAAGTGGTCGTCGTCACCGTTCTGATCACGACTCGCCTCCCCTGCTCATCCACGCTCTCTGTCACATGCTCCTCCGTCTTAGGCTCGGGTAGCTGTATGTCCATTATGAGCTCTTCAATGTCTTTGGCTGTTTTCTGTGTCATTGTTGGCTCTGTGGTTGGCTCCTCAACTTCTTCAATCACCTGGTCTCCGAGGTAAACTGTCCGGAAGATCCGACGGTGGATTTTCTCATAGATCACGAGATCACCTGAATCAGTCGTTTCGGTCTCGTACGTGGTCGTGGTGACGGTTCGCGTGACGACCCGACGTCCATCAGGCTCTGTGTGTTCGACAACGTCCTCTGCAGTCGATGGTTCGGGCAGACGGATCTCGTCCGTCTTAGCCGTTGTCGTTTTAGGCATCTCCTTTGTGTCCGGCCGGCTACTTACCTTGACGGGAGCCTCACTGACTTCTACAGCATTGGTGCTGCTGGTACTGTCCGGTTCATCAATCTGCTCAATGACTTCGTCCCCAGCATAAATTGTCCGATGAACTCGCCGCTGCACCTTTTCCAAAATCACAATGTTACCCTCGTCATCGCTTTGCTCCTCGTAAGTGGTCGTCGTCACCGTTTTGATCACGACTCGCCTCCCCTGCTCATCCACGCTCTCTGTCACATGCTCCTCCGTCTTAGGCTCGGGTAGCTGTATGTCCATTATGAGCTCTTCAATGTCTTTGGCTGTTTTCTGTGTCATTGTTGGCTCCGTGGTTGGCTCCTCAACTTCTTCAATCACCTGGTCTCCCAGATAAACTGTCCGGAAGATCCGACGGTGGATTTTCTCATAGATCACGAGATCACCTGAATCAGTCGTTTCGGTCTCGTACGTGGTCGTGGTGACGGTTCGCGTGACCACCCGACGTCCATCAGGCTCTGTGTGTTCGACAACGTCCTCTGTAGTCGATGGTTCGGGCAGACGGATCTCGTCCTTCTCAGCCGTTGTCGTTTTTGGCATCTCCTTTGTGTCCGGCCGGCTACTTACCTTGACGGGAGCCTCATTGACTTCTGCGGCATTGGTGCTGCTGGTACTGTCCGGTTCATCAATCTGCTCAATGACTTCGTCCCCAGCATAAATTGTCCGATGAACTCGCCGCTGCACCTTTTCCAAAATCACAATGTTACCCTCATCATCGCTTTGCTTCTCGTACGTGGTGGTCGTCACCGTTTTGATCACGACTCGCCTCCCCTGCTCATCCACGCTCTCTGTCACATGCTCCTCCGTCTTGGGCTCGGGTAGCTGTATGTCCACTACGAGCTCTTCAATGTCTTTGGCTGTTTTCTTTGTCATTGTTGGCTCCGTGGTTGGCTCCTCAACTTCTTCAATCACCTGGTCTCCCAGATAAACTGTCCGGAAGATCCGACGGTGGATTTTCTCATAGATCACGAGATCACCTGAATCAGTCGTTTCGGTCTCGTACGTGGTCGTGGTGACGGTTCGCGTGACCACCCGACGTCCATCAGGCTCTGTGTGTTCGACAACGTCCTCTGTAGTCGATGGTTCGGGCAGTCTCACCTTTTCCGTTGCAACCGCCGCCAGCTTTGGCTGCTCCATTGTGTCCTGAATGTCGAGTTTTTTCAAAGGTGCTTCGCGCATGTCCACAGCAGAGGTGCTGACAGGTTCATCAACTTCTTCGATGACTTGGTCTCCAATATAAATTGTTCGGTAGACTCGTCGCTGCACTTTTTCCAGAATCACCACGGCGCCTTCATCATCCGTCTGCTTTTCGTACGTCGTTGTCGTCACTGTTTTGGTCACAATTCTTCTTCCCTGATCATCCGTGCTCTCCTGGACCTCTTCTTCCGTTTTGGGCTCCGGTAGTTCGGCATCCACACGCATATTTTGCTTTGAGAGCTTATGAATTTCCTCCGCAGTTTTCTTGGTTACCGTCGGTTCTGGCGTCGGCTCCTCCACTTCTTCCACAAGTTGGTCTCCATCGTACACCGTGCGTAGGATCCGACGGTGAACTTTCTCATAGACTACGACATCATCTGTCTCGGTCATCATGGCATCATACGTAGTCGTTATGATGGTTTTGGTGACAACCCGTCGACCATCCGGCTCGGTATGCTCCACGACGTCTTCAACAACTGACGGCTTCGGGATCAGGAGTGTATTCGTGAGAGCACCCGTTGTGGGCGGCTGTTTTTCTACAAGACTTTCGACGTCAGTTCGGGACCTGCGTGATACGTCTGGTTCCGGTGTGGGATCTTTGATGACCTCAACCACCTGACCGTCCACGTATACCGTATGCATAACGCGTCGGCACACATTCTCGAGCACCGTGATGCTTCCGTCGCTCTCGCACTTCTTTTCGTACGTGACAGTAGTGGTGGTTTTTTCGACGACCGTTCGGCCTTGTTCGTCGATGTACTCGCGCTCCTCCTCCGTGACACGCGGTTCCGGAAGCACAAAGTCACGTGCAGGGTCCCACGTCAACTGGTCAGCGTTCTCCGCGGACGTCTCCTCCACGACTTCTTCCCCGTCCCTGTATGTTATTCTGGTGGTGTGAGCTTTCTCTAGAATAACTGGGGTCCCATCATCATCTCTGCCCTCCTCGTACGTCGTTCTTGTGATGGTCTTGATCGTAACTCTTCTTCCGTTCTCATCGACCCGAGATTCGACGTGTTCTTCGGTTTTCGGCTCGGGGATCTCAAGGACATATTCAACAGATTTCTTCCTCGAAGGGTCCCGAATCTCTTCAACAATCTCTTTACCATCAACGAACACGGTACGGAATACCCTTTTCTGGACCTTCTCTAATATCACCACATTTCCATCTCCATCCCTGTCTTGTTCATATGTTGTGGTATAAACAGATCGTATCACAACTCTCCTGCCAAGGTCATCGACGTGCTCCTCCACCTCCTCCCTCTCAGTTGATGGAGGCAATTCGATGTTCTCTTCTACATCATCCGGGGCATCAATAGTCTCTTCGACAATCTTACCATCAACGTACACTGTTCTCTGCACCCTTTTCTGTATCTTCTCAAGGATTACAGGACTTCCATCTTCATCTTCAGTCTCTTCATATGCGGTCCTAATGGTAGTTCGCACAACAACGCGCCTGCCTTCTTCGTCAACGAACTCTTGCACATTAGTAGTTTCGGACGGTTCAGGAATCTGAAAGTTTTCATCGACGTACATAACATTCGAGTCCTTTGCATCTGGTCCGGCGTCTGGCTCCTCCAGCTGCTCTGAGACCACTTCTCCGTCCACATAAATCGTTCTCTGCACTCGCCGATGAACCTTTTCCAAAATGACAGTATTCCCCCCGTCGTCGTCCGTCTGTTCGTACGTTGTCGTAATCGTCGTCGTCACAACGACCCGCCGTCCTTCGGCATCCTCGTACTCTTCCGTTCGCGTCTCCGTCTTGGGCTCCGGCAGCTCGAAATCCTCACTGACATACTCGACCACCGGCGCCGACCCACTGGGCGGCTCCGAAGGCGGCGAGTCCAGCTCGCTCTCCTCCACCACCTGGCCGTCTAAGTACACGGTCTTCTGACGACGACGATGCACGCGCTCCAGGATCACCACCTCGTTGTCAGCGTTCTCTTGTCGCTCGAACGTGCTGGTCACGGTGGTGGTGATGACCACACGGCGGCCCAGCTCGTCCTCGTACTCCTCCACCTCGGTCCGTACACTGGGCTCGGGCAGCTCGGGCTCCAGCTGCTGCCGGCTCCACTCGTCGGGGGACAGAGCCTCGCTCCTCTCCGACTCGGTCACCTGCGGCGGCTGGCCGTCTGTCTGGCGGCAGACGCGTTCAGTCACGCGACGCACCACCACCGGCCGACCCTCGGCGTCCACTGTGTCCTCGTAGGTGGTGGTGGTAGTGGTGGTCGCCACAGTCGGCCGCCCCTCGGCATCCAGCAGGCGCTCCTCACTCGTCTTCACCTGCGGCTGACGAGCGACCGGTTTGCTGTCGCTGCGCACCTCCGTGCGCACCTGCTCGACGAACACAGGTGCGCCTGTCTCATCCAGCGACTGGGCGATCTCGGAGCTGGTAGAACGTTCGACGCGATGAGTGTTTCCCCGCTCGTCAACGCGTGTCTCTTGCAATGACTCACCAGATGACTTCTTCGACCGACGCCTCGGCCGCTTTTGGCTTTTGTCCATTATCTGATGACAGAAAGTGGTGTTAGCCCTAGGTGACGCAGAGACCTGCGACGTCAACACATAAACCACAGTATTGTCGACCACGCGTACGTGAAACTTCTACGCCACCTTAAAGCGCTTATGCGTGTATAACTAATAACACAGTCACGGCTAATCACTGCATTACGGTCTGTCTTACACAAAATACAAATAAAGCAAGATAACTACCAACGTCAGTATATGTTAAGGCGTTCTCTTATTCACCACCATCTCGCCAGGTCCACAGCCACGATTCCCAGAGGAATAAGCCTACTAGCTCCGACCCAGTCTAGCCGCTGACCTCGCAGCCAGTCTGGTGGCTGAAGAGACGTTTGTACCAAGTGACAAGATAGGGGGGTTGGGCGGCACCAACGAAAATCCTCACGCCAGATTTCTAACCTCTTTGTTTAAACGGTAAGTCAGCTTCTCCCTCTGCACTTCCCAATCCATTTCTGTCTCTCCAAGTATTTGTGCCTGCATCTCCATATATTTTACCATCCCTCTAACTCCCTCGCTCTCTCTGTACTTCTCTTGTCTGGTGGCGCTGTAAGTCCATATCAATACGCTAGCCATGACGCAGCGACGGGGCCGACCTGACACACATCTCTATGTTTAGGTTACGTGGGAGGGGGAAACCACTGCTTCGGCCCGATGTCGCGGCCGCATCAGGCGGCAGGCGGCAGGCGGCAGGCGACATGGGCAGGGCAGGGTGGAACTCGCCGCATAGCAACCGCTGCTTGAAGACCTATCTATATTCACCGCACCGCGGTGAAAATAAACAATGATTACTGGCGTCGTCAAGAGCACGACAGCCTGCCTGCTACGGACCACCAGCTGAGATGGCAATCTTGATGCTTCCCACGAGCTTATTCTTGAGAACGCTCCTTTTCCTTTGGCGCTTAGTCACGCAGCACACACTATATGCAGCATGATGTTCCTGGGCTTTTGGCCTGGTTTCCAACGGTGTCGTGTATGCTCATTGGATGCTAGTTGAGATTAAAGAAATAAATTTTCTGCTAGTGAGACGCCTTTTGTTGCGTTAGACGCGCAATGCAATTAAGGGTGTTATTTTCATCGTCATGTAGGTGATACCAGAAATAGGCCAAAAGACCTCGTGGCTTTCGGGAACCCGTACAAATGTGACTTATAAATGCGTTGTAATATCCTCCTTTCATGAATACATCAGGCAGAATGAAATGGTGTCAAGCGTCCGCGCAGCAAGTTGAGTGAGGTTGGCTACTTGAAGGAAGTGAATGGGTTGGACGTTTTGGATGCTTTTAATTCACATGGAGCGACCACGGCATACTACGTGGAATGACGATCACATCACAAAATCACAATCAAAGTTCTGCTTTAAAATTAGGCATGCACTCGAGAGGGTCCATATTCATTACATTTCCAAATTTAGCAGCATGCGTAAACACGGCTATATCGTTGTCAGCTTTGAGCCCAGGTAAGCTTGAGACATACCTCGGTCATCGGCGTGATAATCAACCATCGCTGCAATGATCTGCTATCGGCGTGATCATCAACCACCGGTGTAATGACCTGCTATCGGCGTGATAATCAACCACTGACGTGATGATCAGACATCGGTGTGATGATCTGCCATTGGCGTGATAGCCAACCACTGGCGTGATGATCGGTCATCAACGTGATGATCAGCCATCGGTGTGGTGATCTGCCATTGGCGTGATAATCAACCATTGGCATGATGATCGGTCATTAATGTGATGATCAGCCATCGGTGTGATGATCTGCCATTGGCGTGATAGTCAACCACTGACGTGATGATCGGCCATTAACGTGATGATCAGCCATCGGTGTGATGATCTGCCATTGACGCGATAGTCAACCACTGGCGTGATGATCGGCCATTAACGTGATGATCAGCCATCGGTGTGATGATCTGCCATTGGCGTGATAGTCAACCACTGGCGTGATGATCGGTCATTAACGTGATGATCAGCCATCGGTGTGATGATCTGCCATTAGCGTAATAGTCAACCGTCGGTGCGATGTTGGGCCATCCACGTAATAATTGCACACCAGTGTGATCATCTGCCATCATGGGAATACGACTGGAGGACGGGTCGCTCCGGACAGCTCCCAGGACGCGGCTGCCCCCGAGAGCGCCGCGCTGCACGGGGAGGGCAGACCGCTCCCAGGACGCGGCTGCCCCCCGAGAGCGCCGCGCTGCACGGGGAGGGCAGACCGCTCCGAACCGCTCCCAGGACGCGACTGTCCCTGACAGCGTGGTGCTGCACCGGGAGGCGCGGTGCCACGTGCAGCGGCCTGTCTCCGGACGGATCAAGCAAATTTAAGCAGTCAGCAAGACACAGGCACTGGCCTTGCCGGGCCCGCTGGCTGCTGGTTCCAGATGCATATGTTGAGAAAGATGTTCGCCAGCTCTTGGCATGGACTCCAAACACTGTTAGATTGTTCATCGTGGAATCACTTGATCTGGACAGCAGCGAAGCATCCTAACACCGCCCTCTGCCGTCGGGGAACCTTCGTCTTCAATATAGCTTTAACGCGCTATCTCCATTTCAGGAACACTTCAGCGGCAAGGCTATATGACACTTCCGACTAGCCGTTCATATACAGCGCGAGCTTACGTTGAGATGGCCCACCCAGCAACCAGTGCCCTGGAAAGATGAAAGCCGGAAGACATTTGCTGCGTGAATCGAAAAACCTCGCAACTGCAGGCGCTGCATATCAATCAAAATCACCCATTCTCAACAGCTGGAACTGGCATCGGAGCGCACAGGATCATCAGCCGCACTGCAACTAAGCAGCCAGAATGATGCAATTTGCAGCCGGTGCCGTGCAGCGCAGTCCGGTGCCGCGTAGCGTCCGCGGACCGCGCGGCTGAGGCGGCGGCGGTCGGCCGCGCCCCCGCAGCACCGCGCGCCATGGGGCACGTGTCGCGCCGGCGGTCGGCCGTGCCCCGCAGCACCGCGCGCCATGGGGCACGTGTCGCGCCGGCGGTCGGCCGCGCCCCGCAGCACCGCGCGCCATGGGGCACGTGTCGCGCCGGCGGTCGGCCGCGCCCCGCAGCACCGCGCGCCATGGGACACGTGTCGCGCCGGCGGTCGGCCGTGCCCCGCAGCACCGCGCGCCATGGGGCACGTGTCGCGCCGGCGGTCGGCCGCGCCCCGCAGCACCGCGCGCCATGGGACACGTGTCGCGCCGGCGGTCGGCCGCGCCCCTGCAGCACCGCGCGCCATGGGGCACGTGTCGCGCCGGCGGTCGGCCGCGCCCCGCAGCACCGCGCGCCATGGGGCACGTGTCGCGCCGGGGGTCGGCCGCGCCCCGCAGCACCGCGCGCCATGGGACACGTGTCGCGCCGGCGCGCGCCGTCCCCATGGCCGCCGCCCCACCGCCCCCTTCATCGACCCGAAGCCGGCCGGCCGCCGAGCGCCGGCCGCCGATCACCGGCCGTCGGCACCGGGTCGGAACCGAGCCACCGCTGCCGGGCTGGCGCCAATTCTGGACGCCGCCACCCTCGCCCCTCACGTGACGGACGCGGGTGCGCCGTCCGGAGACGTGACACACACCGACGGGGGTGGACAAACCGGCATGCATGGACCGGACACTGCTGTGCACGTGGCGCAAGGCGAGCAGAGATGTTGAACGTCGAAAACGCCGTCTTCGGCACATAATATGACACTGAGATAGAATAAGCAGCAGTGCGCAGAGGAAATGGGTGCCACGCTTTGGACGATACGTCATCAACAGAATGTGTCGAATATAGCTCAGGACAAGGCATCCGAAGCAACGGTGTAGTGACGTCTAAACGGAATTATAAACGACTTCCGACGCACAGAACTCCCACTGGCTATCACCCAGCCCCTCGAGACAGCGCGCGTGAGGACGCTTATCACGTAGTGTGTTGCATGAGCCGATAAATGATGCGACGATAGAGCAGGATCATCGCACTTCTGAGCCAATGAGCGCCAACTGGCTGGACCACAGCACAAGCTGATGGAACATCGGCTTCAGCTCACAACTGCCACACCATGTAAATTGGGAGCAATTCATCCGAATGGTCGCTCGAGGCCAACGAGGCCGATTTAAGGAAGCACGCAACAGATGGGAAGTCTACATTTTAGCTGCTAAAGAAATGTGTCCCTGGTAAAACAGCCATAGCTGAAATGTAGTGCCCGTGACACCACACATGGCGACAATATCACACACGCAGACGCAAAACCACACACAAAATGTCCCGGCCGCCAGGATGGTTCATTTCTGTAACTCCACTCTTGGAACCAGACTAACCTAAACACCCGAAATGGCCCAAGTATCGACGCAATCTACAATAATGCTAGCGGCCAGCAGGCCGCCGCGGGCGGCGGGGCGGCGTTCTGCAAGGCTGCCAGCAGGCCACCCAGCGCGTCCCTCACGCGCACGTTCCACAGACGACTTCTGCTGCAGGCACTGGCGCCGGCGAGGCGACGCCAGCAGCTTGACAGAGCGCGCTGCAGACGGTCAGAAACACCGCAGGAGCCGTTCACCGAGGGGAGGCCCCGGCCGGCCCCCCCCCCCCCCCCCCCTCCAGAGACGCGCCGCATACGACACTAGGTCACCGCTGCAGACGGCCAGGAACATCGCAGCGGCCGTTCACCTAGGGGAGGTGCTAGTCTGGCCTCCTCCTACAGAGCCGCGCTGCATACGACACTAGATCACCGAAGCTGCGTTGGTCCCACACGGATGTGCAGGTCACGACCTGAGACCCACCACCCGTGGCGCAGAGATGGCGTGAGCAGCTGTCGACCCAGAAACAATCCGTGCACGCCGTCCCCCGGCGCCGCCGCCGGCCTATTGATTGGTCGTCGGGGTGGCCCACGCGGACCCGCCCTGACCCGGCCCGCCGGCATGGTTCCCACCGCTGCGGGACGGAGAGCCGAGCTGAGGCACCAGGACGGCCTCGCCAGCGGCAGCCGGCGGCGCCCCCAGCCGTACTGCCTGCGGCTGTCGTGTGC